TTGTGACAGAATGGCATTCTAGAAGGAGTAGGCCAGATTTTCAGTGTGTGCTGTCCCCCAAGGAGCACTGGAGGTTCACTCCATGCTTCTGTGGCAGACACAGGAAACTGGGCTCTTGTGATACATGATCTTCATGGGATGACCCCTGTTCCTCAGGCACAACATGGTCTTCCAGGTGCGAACAGCAGCTAAAGCTCAGGGCAAGGGAAAACACTGTGGAGGCAGAGAGGCAGATGAAGCAAGTGGGGTGACCTGGGGCACAAAAGGAATGTTCAAGTGACTTTTATTCAGGTTCTCAAGCCCATGGAGAGATGAACTGTCCAAGTGTCCTTGTTCCCAGCCTTGTGTCATCGTGTGAAGAAGCTGTATCCCGCACAGCTCCCTCTCAGGGAACACAGGCTTGTAAGCTGCTCTTCAGAAGAACAGCATGCACAGGTGGACTTCATGAAGCATGGGCCTCATTCATGCCCACACAGTGCAAAAGGGGATGCTCTGTCCTTCTTCTGCAGCTGGATGGAGAGAAGGAACAGAAATAATGCATACTCTTGAAGGCACGCTAAACCTCAGAAAAACTTTCCTAAATGCTAATTATTATTCTCATTCTTTTCAATGGTGAAAACAAAGCCTAGGAGTATATTAGTTAATATTAGCTGTTGTAACACACAAACCCCCAGATGTATAAAGTTTTGAAAATTACAAAGGTTTATTTCTCACTCATTGAAATCTCCTATGTGTACTCCTTCCGAAGGGATTCTCCTCTAAGCAACACTTCAGAGATGCAGTTCCCTTCACCCTTGGGACTTGTAATTTTTCTACTCGTTCATGGTGCTTTGGCCCCTGTGATGAGATTGATATAAAATTTGGTGAGAATGGCATTTCAGAAATGGGATGAATCATAGCAATAAGTAGTCCAAATTCTGTATTTTATTGATTAAGAAACAGATTTAAGGAGATTGAGGGATTGGCTAAGGTCTCTTAATTAGGTCATACAAAAATCAGTTCATCAAAGCAGGAGGCATCACACTTCCTTATTTCAAGCTATACTCTAAAGCTACAGTGATTAAAACAGTATGGTTCTGTCATAAAAACAGACATAGACTAATGGAACAGAATGAAAAGCCCAGGAATAAACCAAAGCACATATGGTCAACCAATATTTGATGAGGGAGCCAAGAACACTCAATGGAGAAAAGGCAATCTCTTCAAATAAATAGTGCTGGGAATTATACATGATGGACTCAGCCATAAGAAATGACGAAATCTGGGCATTTGTGACAACATGGATGGACCTTGAGGGTATTATGCTGAGTGAAATAAGTCAGAGGGAGAAAGTCAAATACCATATGAGCTCAATCATAAGTAGAAGATAAAAACAACGACAAAAAAACACATAGCATTGGAGATTGGATTGGTGGTTACCATTGGGGAAGGCGGGAGGGGGGAGGGCAAAAGAGGTGATTAGGCTCACATGTGAGGGGATGGACTATAATTAGTTTTCGGGTGGTGAACATGATATAATCTACACAGAATTCGAAATATGATGTACATCCAAAAAAAAAATAGTGCTGGGAAAATTGGATATTCACATGTAAAAGAATGAAACTTTACCCCTACCATACACTGCTCACAAAAATTAACTTGAAATGGATTAAAGACTGAAATCTAAGACCTGAAACCATAAAACTCCTAGAAGAAAACATAGGAAAAAACCTCCTCAACATGGGTTTTCATAACAATTTTTTGGAAAGACACCTAAAGCACAAGCAACAAAACCAAAAATAAACAAATGAGACTACATCAAACTAAAAAGCTTCTGCACAGCAAAGGAAATAATCTACCCTATGGAAAGGTAAAAAATACTTTAAATAATATGTCTCATAAGGAGTTAATATTGAAAATATATAAAAAACTCATACAATTCAATAGCAAAAAACCAAATAATCCAATTTAAAAATGGGCAAAGGACCTGAATAGACATTTTTCCACAGAAGACATACAGCTGGCCAACAGGTACGTGAAAAGATGCTCAACATCATTAATTATCAGGAAAGTGCACATCAAAACCATGATGACATAGTACGTCATACCTGTTAGGATGGCCATCATCAAAACGACAAGAGATAACAAATGCTGGAGAGGGTGTGGAGAAAAGAGAACCTTTATACACTGCTGGTGGGAATGTAAATTGGTGCAGCCACTATGGAAAACAGTATGGAGGTTCCTCAAAAAATCAAAAATAGAGCTACCATGTGATCCAGGAATTCCACTTCTGGGAATATATCTTAAGGAAATGAAAACACTAACTCGAAAAGATATCTGCACCCCCATATTCATCACAGCATTATTCACAATATCCAAGACATGGAAGCAATCTAAGTGTCCATCGATGGAAGAATGTATAAAGCAGATGTGGTGTATGAGTACAATGGAATATTATTCAGCCATAATAACGTCTGTCAGTTAGACAGAGAAAGACAAATACTGTATTATCTCACTTATATGTGGAATCTTAAAAAGAAAAACAATAACAAAAAACACCAAGCTCATAGAAAAAGAGATCACATTTGGAGTTTCCAGAGGCAGGGGGTGGAGGGAGGGGCAATTGGAGGAAGGTGGTCAAGGGGTAAAAGCTTACAATTATGAGATAAATAAGGATAGGGGATGTAATGTACAATAGGATGATTATAGTTGACACAGCTGTATGATATACAGGAAAATTGTCAAGAGAGTAAATCCTAAGAGTTCTCATGACAAGGAGAAATTTTTTTCTTTTTTTATTGTATCTATATGAGATTATGGATGTTAACTAAACCTGTTGTGGTAATCATTTCACAATATATGTAAATCAAACCGTCATGCTGTACACCTTTAGCTTATACAGTGATGTATGTCAGTTATTTCTCCATAAAACTAGGGGAAAATCCTCTTGGATACAACTTAAAAACAGAATTCTCAGACATCTCCTTAAAAAAAGTCAGTTCATACATCTGGTTCTATAGATGCTAATGAAAACTTGCTGAATGGGCCAGAATATAGATAAAATTCTTTTCCTCTCTCAATAAATTAAAAAACAAAGAAACACAAATTCAAATCAACTCCTATTTGTAGACATAAAGCATGGGGGGGTGGTGCGGGGTTCAGAGCTCTTCTAGAAACTCTTGATATGAGTATTTTGACAAGGAAAAAGTAATGAATGTGCCTCTAGGTGGCAATACCTTTTAAGGGAGATAACAGTCGGTGGTTTTTTTTACTACTTAAATTTTCATCTTTCTTTCAAAATATTTGTTTCTCTTTATTAACTAACAAAAAGTGTTCTCAATAGGTGGCCAGTGAGGTTTCCTAATTAACCATCAAAAGGGCAAATTTGATATGTCTTATTTTTGGTATTCCCTATACTCCCCATGAACATGCAATGCGGAGCAGAGTTGGAAAGGAAGAAAGCAAACACTCCACAGATCTTGATCAGGTTCCCCCGAGGGTAGCCCCAGTGACCCAGCTTGTAAGTCTAGGATGCAAGGACTGGCTATACGAGAAGACAGCATAGTGGATAGAGAGGAACACAGTGTTTCTAAACAGAAAACAATGTGAAAAGATGAGTCAAGATAGTTCTGGTGGAAAAAATACATATAAGGAGGAAATGAAGAAGTGATAGGTTAAATCTCATCCTTTGATTCACTTCTATCTGCAGCAGCAGAATGAAATCAGTTCTCTCCTTAGGAGATTACAATCCAGTCTTGCTGTCTCTACCGCAGAATGTCTGCTTCTCTCATTAACTGGACTCTCATATGTGTTATGGGATGACATAAACTGCAAAGGGCCCAGAGGCTGACCAGAACAAACGTCTGATTTAATCTCCAAGCATCAAATCTATTTTTTGTCCACATTCTCAACATCTACTTCCTACCACCAAATAAAAGGTATAAGAAAGAAAAACAACATAAAACCTCAACAACAATAGGGTATGATATGCAATAAAGCCCTGGAAATGTTCATCTGCTGTTACCAATGCATTTAGGACTAAAATCCCCACTACTTGTTCCTGTCTGGCTGTGAGAGCACGCAGGACAGCCGTAACGAAATCTTAAATAGCACGGCCAGGAGACACAGACACAACGTGTTCAGAAGATCGCCACCAAGTGGAATGTGTGCCCATTTTATTTGAGCATACAATAAGTCTAGGTTTGCATAATGATTTTTTAAGTGAGAAAAATAATTTGTAAGAGAAAAAGTCTTTGGTTTTGAACACTACGTTTTGTCCCTGTTTGGTTGGTTGTTGTTGCCAAATCTACAAAAGTGCAAAACTTTTAGAAACCCTTGTTGAAATCTCTTGGAAAACGTATAATCTTCCAAAAAGTCTCCTGTGTTTTCTAAGTTTAGACAACGAATGGAAAGAAGCGGATTTGTTGTCCTGGAACCCGTGGTCCCAGAGGTGGAGTGTAGTCTGAAGTTTGAAGCATTTGACTCTTATCAATTGTGTAGAGCAAAGTGGAAATAAATGACATTGATTTCAAGTAAATTAGTTTCCTGAGCTCTTCGGAGTCTTGAATGATTTTAGTAACGGAATTCTGATGCTCTCTAACACCAACAAAGGCAAAAAACATACAAACCATGGCTAAGATTAGAGAAGTCTCAAGTACAACAGAACTTTTAGATGTCTCTTTTTAAACAACACTGGCCTGAAATATCTGGGAGATTTCTTTATACTGTTCAGATCAGCCTCCTGGTAAAGGCAACTGCTTTGCTGATGATGAAGTCAGAATGAAAAACATGTATAGAGCAGGTAAGATAAAAGCCATCTTTCTTTTCAGTTGCAAAAGTTTGGTGACCAACTGCTTTATTTTACTTTTTAAAATTTTGTTTTATTTGGTTTGTAATATTATTTTCCTTGGCCTTGTTACGGTAAATGTGCAATATTTTTGGCTTCTTTGGTGAATAAAATGGAAAACCCTTAGTTTCTAGACAGGAAAAAACAGACCGCCAGCATAAGGCTGAAATGCCATTTGATTCTCAGGGTGACTACAGCATGTGGACATCCTGCCACAGGCTCCGGAGGGAGGGCCTGCTCCTGTCTCACAGTCTGCCCCTCCTCACCTCCCTGCTCCCTTCTCCCCGCTCCCTCCCACCACTTCTCCCAAACTGTATGAGCTTCAAAGGAATTCTTAGTAGCTACATAATGAAGTCGGGGAAGCTCAACAGTTGATAAATCCTGGATGTTCTGCAGAAGACTTTGGACGCCTTCAGAATAGGGCAGTCAGCAAACCCAGTGCCTCTAGAAACAGCTCCACTGGTAAGAGGTAAGAGCTCTTTGCCACAGACTTGGAATCAGCAGAACATCTCCTTTAAAACAGATAATCTTCTGGCTGCTATGCTGTTTTTTATCTAAAACATTTTTATATTTAAGAAAACCTTTCTAATAAAAAGTTATATATTTTCTCCAATACTGCAAGCAAAGAGCTAAGGTGTTGGAAATGTTAACAGCAAAGAACCATACTTGTTTTAAGAACTTAAAAAATGCTCTCATTGCTTGCATTTTTCCTTCCAACTCCCTCCACTTCTCTCTTTCTCTTAAAAGGATACCCATGATGACCTCCTGGGTATGTTTCTGAAAGAAGAAAACAAGATCTCTTTGCCTTAAATTCCATTAGGTTTTGAACCTCTGGAATTTCACAGGAGGTGTCAAATTTAGCTGACCCCAAACTTTTCACTTGAACAGAAATAGAAGCCTAGAGGGGAAAAGCCATGCTGTGTGCTAAGGATATATGACCCATAAAAAGAACTACAATAGAACATTTTAAATGATCTTGTTAAAAGCACTATGACTCCTCAGAGTTCTCTTTTACTTCTCAAGAGTCAGGCATACAGCACTTTGCTTAGATTTGCTGTGGCTGTCTCATTTAATAAAAATAATTTTAAGAAACCCAAAATAAGTTTTTTATTTACTAACATTACTTTTTTCCTTTTCTTCATCTCTTCTAAGTTACTACTCATTCATTCATTTATTTCCTCTTGAGTGCCTATTATGTATCTACAGGGAATAAGAAGGTAAATAAGACAGGGATCCTACCTGCAAGGAATCTTTTCTCTATGTTGTCACTTTAAAACTTAAATATTATGTCTCTGACCTTTTAATTCCAATGACATGATCAGATGTTATTTATATGCTGTACCTTGGGTGCATTCTACAAATGCAGATTTGCTTTTTGCCTGGCCTTTTGCTATTTATAACTTTGTTCATAGAATCCTTATTGGTCTTAAGAGTTTTCTCAGAAAGACCCTGTGCTTTTTCTAGTACTGTGCCCGGCATTTTTTGATGATACGAGAAGCATAAAAGACATGCTTGTTTTACCTCTGAGTCTACACAGTAGACTGTGAGACTGCACACGGATACAGAAAACTGCCATCCATTCTATGGTGCTCACACAGCATCGTGGAGAGAAACATGGAAGCAAATACGTACAGTGTGATAAGTTCAGTAATGAAGGCTCATACCAAGTGCTATGGCGTGCATAACTGGTAGGGCTTTGGAGAGGGAGATGGAGATGATCTGGGCCATAGGTGGCCTGGGAGAGCTCACTGTAGGAGACAATGTGCAGGATGCTGAGATGGAGAGGAATGGCAGAGAGCGCAGGAAGGGATGAAGCAATCTCCCAAAGGGTTTTGTGGGACAGCAGGTGGAGCCTAGGGCTGGTGTCCCTTCCTCTGGCTAGAGCTGCCTCTGTGTAGCAGACCCAATATGTTTGTTCTTCACCAAATCCAGTCTCAAGGAATGGCTATGACTCTCCACACACAGGCCTGCGTGAGTCAATCTAAACGAATCCAGTGCTGGTGAGAGCCATTCACTTGGAAATACTGAGATTTTAGGAGAACTGTCCTTGGAATCTGGGAGGGTCTAACAGCATGCCCTCTGTGCTCAGAGGGAAAAAATAATTTTTGTTTTTGTTTTAAGAGACTCTCTCCTGACTTAGCATACTTTATGATATCTGCATAGAGACTGGAAACGTCCCATTTAAAATCATGTAGGTGTGCTGGGCATGGCCTGACAGGTGCTAGACCAGCTCAGTCTTGCCTGAGGGGTCTGTCAAAGGGCACACAGCTGACAGGCGTGCAGCCCAGGTCTTGGGATCTTCTGTCCACTGTACCACGTTTGATTTATTGAAAGTTTCTTTTTTAGACAGAGACATTCTTCTGATTATGCAGAATATTAAGCTGTTTACAGGCAGCAGATAGGATCTTTTACCTCTCCTGGAATCTGAAATTTCATCTCTAGGGATTTCTTCCTCCTATGAATGGTTGTTAACATGTACAACTCCAGCAAGTCTTATCAGTTGTGTATGGAGAGAATATCCAGGGAGGCTCCTGTCAGAGCTAGCAGTGACTGGAAGGCTGTTAGGGTGGATGTCCCCCAGCAATCACCAGGCAGCTGAGAGTGGACACAGCTGCAAGAGCCATGGAGAGCAGAGGCATTGGGTGCTGAGAACCCATCACATACTTCTGTTTGGGGCATGTGTGAACTGCTCCTCGGATTGACCATTCAAGATGTGCTGGAACTTTGGGTGCTAATGTGGGAGGGCTGCAATGAGGGAGGGCTGTCTGATTTCTTTCCTTGTGACCCACACCTCATGTTGTAAGTTTTTTGGATGACTTCAGTGGGCTTGTCACCCATAGTGGGAACTAGCTGCAAAGTGAGAAGCAGCCTGGCTGGGACAGGCTCACCATACCCACAGAGTGGACTGACTACCATATCCTATAATGTAGTGCTCCCGCCCTTGCCCAAGACTGAGGGTGCCTTGTGAGGTGGGCACAGTGGAGGTGACTGGGAGCATGGCCCTGTTTCTGCTGCTCCTGGGAGATTCTGGGCACCCGAAGAGGGGCCTGTAGGCTGCTTACGTGCCTAGAGGCAACCTACACCATGAACTGGGACACAATTGGGGATAGCTTGGCCCTTCCAACCTAATTCCGAGGTCCCATTATGAGTCTTTAGAGTTGGGCCAAGCTAGCCCAAATATCATTTTGTTTACCTGACCTAGTCAAATGGCTTTTTTTTTTTAAACAAGGAACTGAATTTGTAGCTTTTTTCACCCTATAATTATTGCACATAAGAGTTGGAAGGGAGACTTCTGGTTCTTAATTGCTTCATTTTGCAGAGGAGCCTTGTGCCACAGTGGCCAAAGCACAGGCTTTGGAGGCCTACAGACCTGGGTTGTGATTCTCAGGTCTTAACTGTGTGAGGGACACAAGCTTCTGACATCTCAGTTTCTTCCTTTCTAAAAAGGGAATAATAGCACTTACCAGAGATTGCTTTAAGGATGACATGAGGTGGCCGTGGGGAATGCATGGTGCTGTTATCATCACTACCAGTATATCATCATTAGCCTACATAGCCTAACAGCCCTGTCTGTGCTTAGAAAGACAGGTGCAGATCCAATGCAGAGCAAGTGGCCTGTGCCCCCAGCCTGACTCTGGTCGCTCTGTGACCTAAAATATGCTCTGTATTTATATGTTGCACCACTTATGGTCATGTTTTTAACATTGTAATGAAAGCAGAGCAAGGACATAAGCTGTATCCTTTTTCTATTTCATATACTGAGACATAGAGGGAAGAAAAAAAACCTTAAAAAAAGTAAGACCTGATATGATTTTGAAGCTAGGCTTTACTCTGTCCCCATGAGACCTGTGGTATGTCCTTAGTTTCTCTAAATCTCGGTTTTCTTATCTGTAAACTGGGGATAACAATAAAGCCTCAATCATGAGATGATTGGTAGGAGTAAACAATCTGTGAAGGTGCTTTGCACAGCAGCAGGCACATAGCCACCACTCCCTACATAAAGTTATTGATGCTTCTGGCAGTATTCTCATCATCATTATGAGAAGTGCTGTGAGGAACCTGAGGTCACTGTTCTCTTCCATTTGAGCACTGGGAAAGAACCTGACTCCTGGGAGCATCTCGGCAAGCTGCTTCCACCAGCTCCACAAAGTCATATCTGTAATTAGATGGTCACTTGTAAGGTGCTTCACTTCATGTCCCTCTCCCCACTCTACAGGGAGGGCTGGCCGCTCCGTGAGGCAGGAATTCCATCTGTTTTCTTTTCCTTCTTGGATCTTGGCTCCTGACCCAGGCACATGGTGGGTGTTCAATAAATATTGGTTGAATGAATGAATACAGAGGGATATCACATTCTTGCTGCCTTTCTGGACCACCTCCTTCTGGAGGGTTGAAAGAATATAGGCTCCAGAAGTAGCCTTGGGTTCCAATCACATGCACTGGCTGGCTGGCCCTGGCAGCATTGCCTGAGCTCGCCTGGGGGTCTCAGGTGAGAGATGTGGGACTGTGAGCACACCTGTATCACAGAGTGGTTCTGACATCCAGGGAAGTAGTGGAGGATGAATTTCAGCAATCTTCCTTCTTATTAAGACATCTTATGCGAGTGTAACTAGTTGTAGTCTTCTTAATCACTATATCATAATTTTAATACTTTTTCCAAAGAGAGAAATTCTCTTGTTTTTCACTGGCTGTGTCTGTATAAACATATGTGTTGGATATAAATGCACTAAAGTTAAACCCAGTTTTAAAAAACATAAAAACGAAATTAGGCCAGATTACCAATTTGACCTTGTACTTCAGTCTTTAGAGCTGACTGCTTTGGCTTGGTAAAGATATGACTGTGTTCTCGCAGAGGCATTTAGGGTGGCTGTCTCTCAGAGCAGGAGGCTGCCCTTGTGTGGCTGGCCAGCTTGTCTCTCTTACTTTTTTTCTTTGCAATTTATTTGTCAGACTAATTCTCAATCTACCTTGCTTTGATTCTTAGAGACACACCTGAGTGAGAACACCTTACCCAAGAATAGGCATCGTTAATGTTTAAGAATCTCCTCAAAAGACAGTTCTTTCCAGGAAGTACCCTCTTATAATTCCAGGATCCCAGGAAGGGCACCCAAAACACATGCTGTTACTTGGGCATCCTCTCCCACTTCGTTATAAACAGGGTTTTATTCCATCCCACTGCTTGGCAATGTGGATGTCATCTGGCACTTGGCACCCAGGGCCCTTGTGTACATGAGGATAAGGAGGCCCAGCCCTGAGCTGGCCAAACTTATGTCCATCTACTTAACTTGTCTATCTGCAAACGGAAGATGATGATTTCTGGCATGAAGCTCACAGCGCAAGGCTGCAGAGACGGCATGTAAACCAAGTTTGTGAAAAAATGTTCAGACCTTTCTCCTGGTGGAAACAAGGAGAGTGTACTCAGAAGTAGGTTTCAGAGGCTTTCCTCTCTGGGACTCTCCCTGGGGAGCTGCA